GTGTATTTATATGGAAATTGCTCTTAATACCATTACTTAGACTGATCTTATACTAAATATGCTTTGCAATTTGAATTTGAACATGATGGTAACTAGCTAGTTGATTTGCTTGGGCTCGGTCGACTGAGGCGACTGGTCGAGTGAAAATCACGCCCGCCGAAGTAAAAACCGATCAGTCAACCGGTTGCGATCGGACTACGGGCGTGCTCCACCAATTGGATCTCTCGTCATAGTATGTTGGTTGACTTCCACTGAGCGGTCGGTTGCTAAATGAACAGTTAAGTTCGCGCTCTTTTGGTCTGACACCTTAATCATCTGACTACTATAATGGACCATTAATTGATTTGAGATCTGTATCAGTATTCTAGCGTATACATATTAGTTCTTTAAGTTTTTTTGCTCCTTGGAAGTGATTGGAGCGATAAGGACATGTAAACTATTTAATAATCAGTAGCACTAAAATCAAGAAAATTAACATGATAATTAATTTCCCTTTGGATTTAGTGTTCAGTGTGCTCTATAAATAGAGCCATAAGCATGATGTGGTATCGTCATTTTTTTTCATTTTCATTTAACCAAGTTGCATCATGGTTGATGGTTCGATTCGGATCACTGTGAACCCCAGAATTTATGCCAAGGCGGGTTTTGGGCCCTTAGTCTATGTAAAGAAAAATAAGGTTAACAAAGGGAAACAGTTGAGGCAAGAACCTTAGTTGGTTGATCAGGTGACTCATATGGAGATTCTAAGGGACGAATGTTGAAAATCCCCTATCAGGAGGTTGCATCCCTTGAGTCTTGCATGGATGTGGGCTCTAAGGGTCAGCGGGCCATGCTCACTGAAGGCACTGAGGCGATCGTAAGGGAGCCGACATGGGAAGCGATTGTTGTCTCTCCTCATCCGCTATTGCAGGAAGGTAGAGGCACCTCAGTGCGAGAGAGGGAGGAGCTTTTTAAGAACCTTTCCTCTATAGATAAATTTATGGGTACGTAAGATTTTTTTTTTGTTGTTGACGGTTCTTAATAATTTATTGGTATTATTCTCACATAGATGAATTGGTCGACTACGAGGATCAACAAAATGAGGGGCAGTAGAAAGATGTTGCGGAGTCTGTTCCTGCGATAGTGGTCAGTCTATAGGCAGAATAAGAGGGGCTTTTGTCGGCAACCACCTCAAAAGGGCACCAGCCCCCGAACCCTTTTACCTGCCACCGGCTCCGAACAGGAGCGAACAGAGTGGTGTGTGTCTTGTTCTGAAGTCATGGAGCAGCAGACAGGGGGACCAGGCCCTTGGCGACGAGGGTTGTCTTTCAGAGGGAGTGACCAAAGGCCTGACCATAGATTTTGTGTGAGAGTTATCAGCCCATCTGAAAACCATGGGCTCGGATGTATCAACCTTACATGCGGAAATCACCGCCCTGCAAAGGGGGCTAGTCAAGGTGCTGCGCAAGCTAGGGGAGTTTTGCGAGTCAAGCAACCTAGGTAAGTTCCAACAGAAAGCTAACTGAATGGATCAGAGTAGATAAGACAAGTTGATGGTCCTCTGAAGGTTAACTCGGAAGGGGTATGTCCCGACTGAGGCCTTGGACGACCCGTTCACAAAACAATTTGTTCTTGACCAGTAATAATGTTATTTCATAATGCAACGACATTTGAATAAATTTGAAAAGATATTTGGTGTGACATTTATCATTATGTGATGCCTCATTTTACACGTTCATCTTATAAATAGGGTTGTTTTCATTCTTTTTCTGTTTTTCTTTTTGAAGAAGTCTTCGGTTTATGTATCGTCGTATACTTCTCTTTTCTAAATAAGTATTTCTCTCAAACAATATGAATGATCAGGAGAATAGAGGAACCGAAAAAAATAGGACATGCACCAAAAATGCACAAACAAGAGAAAGAACGTGGAAAGCTTCTGTGCGACAAAGCTTACAAGGATATGTCAGACATGTACATCCGAACAAGATCAGATTAAAATAGCTTGTACCAAATATTCGCGAACAAATACTTACGAAAGCTACCCACAACCAGAGATTCATGTGTTTTTGTCTGTTTTTGGGGTTCAAAATACTCCCAAGTGGACGTGTCCCACTTGGTTAATTACACATTGGGGGTTGCCTAAGAATACTCTTGATCTAAGTAGTTCTGCTTACTAATGAGTGATAACTAGCATAGGGTTATCAGAGAATGGTTTATTTCATACGAAACCTCCCAACACTTTCTGAGTTCTCGCTAAGCCACAGGACATAGAGTAAGTCTCTCACGGGCACAAGTGGTTAGCGGCTTATAGGCAATTAAAGCTCGTGAAACATTGAAGGTTGCCCAAGAGTACTTTTGATCTAAGGAGTTCTGCTTACTAACGATTGATAACTAGCACAGAGTTATCCACAGGACATAGAGTAAGTCTCTCACGGGCACAAGTGGTTAGCGGCTTATAGGCAATCAAAGCTCGTGAAACATTGAAGGTTGCCCAAGAGTACTTTTGATCTAAAGAGTTCTGCTTACTAACGATTGATAACTAGCACAGAGTTATCAGAGGATGGTTTATTTCATACGAAACATCCCGACACTTTCTAAGTTATCGCTAAGCCACAGAGCAGAGAATGAGTCTCTCACGATCACAAGTGGTTAGATGTTCATAGGCAATTGAGGCCCGTGAAACAACCATGTCATCTGTTAAGAAACATCCCACCACTTCAAAGCTATACAAAGCTTTAAGGGCAGACGACAAATTGTCGTATTCCAAACGAGCAACAACCTATTGCTAAGTGAGGCCCGCCAAATGACATCGACGAAAGCAAGAGAAGCGACATGGCTAAACAGGGGTAGTCAAAGGAAGAAATGAGTAAGCTCTAAACAGGTAGAGGTAGCTAGGTCAAGATACCACGAACTCTTCATCACAAACTACTAGAATCCTAAGTTTACATGGTCGTAAAAATAGTTGACCCAACAAGTCCGGAGATCGCCGGTCTGCAATCTGTGAATTGCGTCGTCCACGGGTACCTCGGCAGCCCTAAGGTCAAATGAACGAAACTCTATCCTATGACTATCAGATAGAGCTCCAAGAGGTGAAACTTACACCCGTCGAAGTGACGAGGATGTCGCTGAAAAGAGGAGAAAGAGAGGTTCAGCTACAAAACTGGAAACACTACCAACAAAAGACTTGCACCCCGTTTGAATCAGAGAGCCTTCTAACGACCTATGCTTTCTAGACAACTTTATATGTAAAAAGATATGCGAGGCCAGTGTGTAACTAAATTAACACTAAATTTTTTAATAGCACATCTAGGCATGGGCTGAGATAGAGTGGGGACGTCATAAGTGGTATAAATGTAAATACATAAAATGTAAGAAAAACAAACTTAGTCGTTAAATGTGTAACTTTAAAATGCCAGTTATTGACAGGCAGGCATGGTTCTCAATCCAAGTATCTTCGTATATAATAAGCAGTCCGTAGCAGTCCGCATGCTTCAACATAATAACAATTGTTCAATATAATAACCTAAAAAAAATTGATTCTACATCACACACACACATACACACGTGTGCGCGCGTGCACGCACACACACGCACGCACACAAACATCATATGAAACACATACACGCGCGCGCGCGCACGCACACACACACACGCACGCACACAAACATCATATGAAACAAAGGACTCATCATCACTTTTTAATAGTTAAATCCATATTTTCGTCCGAAGATAAAATGCTATGTATGTAAAAATGAAACTTTGGGTGTGAGATAGTGAATCCATAAGAATTGGGTGCTAAGTATGTAATATTCCCTTATTTTTTTACCAACAATATCATTTTTTTTTTATCTAGAGAGAACCTATCATATTTTGAATCATCAACAACAACAAAACCTTTATCCCACAGAGTGGGGTCAGCTACATGAATCTTTTTTCTTCATTGCGTCATATTTAGTGTCATATTTTCATTTAAATCTAATAAATTAAGATTATTTTGTCATACAATATGCCCAAGTCGTCCTGGGTCTACCTCTGCCTTTCTTAAATTCTCATAAATTAAGATCATTTTTTATACAATATGGGCAAGTCATCCTAGGTCTACCTCTGTCTTTCTTAAACTCTAATAAATTAAGATCATTTTTATACAATATGCCCCAATAATCCTAGGTCTACCTCTGCCTTCCTTAAATTCTTTTAAATTAAGATCATATTTTATACAATATGCCCAAGTCATCCTAGGTCTACCTCTCCCTTTATTAAATTCTAATAAATTAAGATCATTTTTTATACAATATGCTCAAGTCATCCTAAGTCTACATCCGTCTTTCTTAACGTTATTTGAATCTAAAACATTTACTCTTCTAATCAGATCATCAAATGGTCGATATTTAATGTAACAAAACCATCTAAGACGACTCTCCCTATATTTGTCCGACACTAGAACTACACCAACCCTATCACAGATAATTTCAGTTCACATTTTGTCCCTCAGTGTAAAGCCACTCATCCGCCTAATCATTCTCATCTCGGCAACACTTAACTTAGTTTTATGCTTCTCTTTTAAAGGACAACATTTAGCACCATAGAGATTTACTGGTCTCACCTCCATCTTCTAAAATTTTCCTTTCAATGTAAGCGGTACTTTTCTATCGCACAATAGACCCGAAGCATTCCTCCACTTCAACCAACCAATTTGAATTCTACTAATAACATCCCCATCAATATGACCATCACTTTGAATAATAAACTCGAGATATCTAAATCGTTCACACTTTTGAATAATTTGATCACCCATAGTTACATTTTCGGCCACTAGAGCTACTACTACTAAAATTATATTCCACATA